TCCCACTGAGACCTCCGAGAGAGACAACCAGTTTCACCCTGCGCAACGAAAAACCAGTTTGTGCCTTCGGCTGCTTACTTCGCTCATCCACATTGATTATACTTTGACCCAGCCAGTTTTGTTAACCTTTTCAGCGACATTCTCACAGTGCCTTTGCATGACTCAACTCCTTTCGATGTCGGTCTTATAACTATGTCTAACTGAATCATGACTGTTTGACACTGCCGTTTGGAGGTGACTCTACACTGATTGACACCCTTTTCTTGACCTTTCCTTCCCTCGCCCCTTTAGCTTGCTCAAGCCAACAACCCGTGATCTTTGCCTCAACGATCCAGTGACACTTCGAATCATTATTTGCTCCAACAGCAGCACCATCAGCAGCTTACCAACCCAGACACCACGGTTTCACCTCCCACTGCAACTCACCACACCTACAACCCTACCGGTACTTATGGCCCACTCACTCACGCACTCCGCACGCATCAAGCCCACCACTCTCATCCATACACGACATCACCATACACACCGCCACCGCAGCACACACCGCCACAACGGGCTCCACCGTCACAGCCGGAGTTCCCACCTCCACCGCCACCACCACTCCCCACAGCCGATCCAGTCACTCCACCGCCATCGACCTACAAGCAGCAGCCCACCACCACCGCCAGCTGCCCGCGCCGGCACTGCACCTGCTCCACCGCCACCTCACATCCCATCTCCCACTCCACCCATCCAAGACTCTTGGAACCAAACCGACCACCAGTGGGATTCCAACACCTTGCACGGCCACCAGCTCTACCGTACAATCCAACCCACACAATGGTCTCGAAAAGCAGGGGTGGCAGGGCTTCCGACCTTCGACATCTTCCCATGGCAACTGGCGTACCATGGTACCTCCGAATTCACAGCCCGCACTCTTAGCAATGGAAAATACACTGGTTTTATTGCCACCAGAAGTATTGCGGAGTCGGTTTTCGTTACCCACCTTCTCCAAGAGCTCCGCGAGAAACGCCTCGACTTAGACGGCATCGCCGAGACCCTCCACACCAACCAGGGCACCGACGTCCCCAGCAAGACAACACAGGCCCGGGCCTTCCACGCCCCCCTGATCAAACTACTTATCCAACAACTCCAAACCCACTCCCCGGCACCAGCAGAGGGTACCGCTCTACGAGCCCTCAAGAACACCACCGACGAGCTGGCCCGAGCACGACAGAAGCTCCACGACTTGGGCGACCCACTCACTCCAGTGAAGAGCACCAGCCACCCCTCAGCACCCGCCGCCCCCTCACATGCACCCACTCCACCGGCACCAAAACCGCCAGCCCTTTCAGACGTCCTGCAACCTCCACACCCAACCTTGCAGGATGATATCCCAGACAGCTGGAATCACACCGATATCCAACACTGGGTCACCACCTTCGACCCTACCGTCCAGGAAGCAGCCAATGAGGTCGTGCGCTTGCTGCAAACGAGTAAAGTCACTACTCAGCAGCTCAAAGACGCGGCCACACGTTACGGCCTCCCACTCAACCGGGTCAATCGCCTACCCATACGGAGCTTGCAACAGCTTGTGAGTGTGGGGGCAGCCATCGGCTGCTGACTCGCTACCCTCACCCAGCAGCAACCCAGCCACACCACCCTACAACACCTGTTCCACTTACGCAGAGCACTTTCCTTACTGATCCACCACACCCAATACATCGACCGCGCCGAAGCCATCTTTGCCACTGGCCTTATCCACATCACACTCCTTTTCGCATATCCCTCCAACACCCGTCGCTCACAACAATGGCGCAACCGTCTCCGCCAGCTTCACATCCTACCCCACACATACCACTACCACAACTTCCTCTCCTCCAATTCAGTTTACATCAAGCTCCATTTCAATCCTGACCAGCCTCAACGCTGCTACCACCAACATGGCCACTTCTATGTTGGCTCCACAGCCATTGGCATTCCCCACCGCGAGCGCAACCGCCGTGCCAAACTCAAACAACTCCAGAACAACATCCCCATTTCTGCAGAACTCTCCCTACGCTATTGGCACTCACACAACAACATCCACCACTACACTACCATCCAACTTACATCCCACGACACTTACGACCAAGCTTGGATCCAAGAACACCACTACATCGCCAACTGGATGCCTACACTCAACTGGCCCTTTATTTCCCACCACCTCAAACTCAAAGCTCAAGGCTGGCAATTCACCAAACACAGAGCCCATTTCTACTCCCGATTAGCAACCCACAAACGACTCTTTCGACGCCTGCGGCAACGCCAGCACACACTCCGAGAACCACACCTTTACACCTCCACCAAGCATCACGCTCTCACACTTCTCCGCAACCTTACCAAACACACAGCAGCCTCCTTTGAAGCAGCCAAAGAGCTACGAAGCGGCCGTCGCACGGACCTTGAAGTCTACGCCATCCGGCGCATGGCCGCCAATCTTGAAGAACCCGGCCGCAGCAGAGCTCTTCACATCATCAACAAAGCCCTCCTCTACCGCAATCTCACGCCGCCAAAACCAAATATTCCACTGACAGTGCCATTCCTGGCCCACGACGATTTCACCAAACACTGCCAACAGTGGCTCCGTACCACCATTCAGCAGCACAAGCGCCTGACCATTCCCCTCCTCCCCTCCCACCGACTGCGCGAAGCCGCACACAAAACCCTACGTTCCCAACTCCATAACCACCGCACATGGGAGGACACCCTCCACTCCCCGCCAGATCCAGCAGACCTCCCCTGCGCATGCAATCATCTTCGAACTCTGCTGCAGGATCCTGACACACCCACCACCAACGGCCACTACATTCTCACACTGGATCAACTTCAACCTCCCACACACCTTGGCATCTTTCTCAACGCCAACATGAACAGCACCTACTATCCAAGCAAGGCTCGCTACTTCCTCACGTTCCAGACGGCCTACACAAAATGGCTCAAGCTACAAGGGCTCCCACCATCCCTCGTGCAACACTTGCAGCCATTCCTCGAGCCTCCGCAACATGCACCTCAAGCAACAACCCCGTTTTACGGCTCGCCTGCTTCGCCAGCTCCAAGAATACCTCGGCCAACGCACAGTGCTTCACCATGCCGACCATGAACTCCAAAGCCCCCGCCAATATTTCACTGGCGCCTTGAATACATGGCAATCCCCCGAACTTTTTGAACCACTTCCCCACCTCACTGCCGCCAACATCCACGACCACCTGGTAGCCACTGTTCCCCCCATTTTGCGCACCCGCTACAAATGGGGCTTCCGCAAAGATTTCAACATTCCCTACGGCGTGGTCCACCTCAAAGAAAAGAAACAGTGGCAGAAAGGCCGCACCATCATCTCATACTTCCAGTCACTCAGCGGCAATCTACTCCGCATCACGAGCCGTGCCCTTGACATTATCCTTCAACACCTTTACCCCCAACATCCCGGACAAATGTCCATTCCCCAACTTTGGCGCCATTTCCACAGCTACCTCACCCAAACCCCACCAGACATCTCCTTGCACGCCACCAACGATGACCTGGTCGGCTTCTTCAACTCGGTCCCACAACACCGACTCATCGATGCAGTTCACTCTCTCATTCACCACTGGCAACAACAGCAATCCACACACACCCTTACGGTGGATGTCCAAGCTACCGGCAACCCCTTTCACCACTCTCATATTGGCAGACACCGTCGCAAACACCCTACACAACGCACCATCCAGACATCAGATATCACCACCATCGTGGCCTTTGCCCTCAACACCTGCATTTTCCGGGCTTGCAACAACACCTACAAGCAAATCCGATGAGCTGGGATTGGATCCCAGCTCTCTCCAGCCCTCTGCAATGTCGCCATCACACTCATCGAACATTCCTGGCATCAGATCCACAACAACTTACTTCAACACACCGATCTACACTTCACTTGCTATCGCTATGTCGACAACCGTTTCATTGTCCACAACGAACATTTCCTCCACCATCCCGCCATCCAAACCCTCATCCACCACAACTTCTTTGGCGACCCGGTCGAACTCGAACCTGTGGACGACTTCCATCTCCTGGGTTTCAACATCGACCTCCCACAACGCACCATCACCTACATGCAACCTTCACAACCCTGGAAAACCACCGCCGGGAGCCAGCGCTTGGCTCTGTCAGGCCTCCAATCACGACTCCACACCATTCGAAAATACACATTTCCACCCTCCAGCGCTGAAGCTGCTGCTGCCGAGCTAGTGAGGCTCTATGTCCAAAAAGGACACAACCATCACGCCTGCCACCGTTTTTTGAAAAAAGCGCCGAAGACGGCGACCTGTGTGTGTCCACCCCTGGACAAAGGGTTTCGTCCAACTGATCCACCGATCACCTTTTCCACCCGTGATTCACATGCAGGGGGATGGAGAGGACACGTGAGGCTCCATCCAACGAAGCTCCTCACGTGCTCCTAGGATATCATCAGGGACGCCTGATGACGTACCTGCGCCGTGACACTACTCCACTCTTCCTTGCTGTGTTTTGATGCCATGGTTGTTGATCACGATACTCTCCCCTCAAACAGGTTTCCCACAGCTGCTTCCAACCGCCGATCGTCAGCCGCGCTGCGCCGACCGAGTGACTGATCCTTCACTGCAGACTTCAACAATGATTTTTGAAACACCTACCAAGTTTTCGGACCTTTCACCATGCGGTTCTGTCACCTTCCTTCCCAACGTGGTAACTGAGTCACTGAAAACCAATGTCAGAGTGTGTGTTTTCGCCCATGATGAACACTGTATCCACACTTACTGTGTATACATGAGCACTGCATTTTTCAACCATCTGTTGATATACACATTGGAACCACCTATGGCGAAACCTGGAAGGCCAGTACATATGCGACCACGTACGTTAGCTTCGGATAAGGATCTGCCGCGTGATATTCTTGTCAATGGGATTTTGTGAAATGAATATCCCGCATATGTTGAGAGACCCTGCCTTTTGGATTTTGGAAGGCCCCTCTCCTCAACTTGGTCGACGGTATTTCAACAATGCTATTTCTGGTGCTGCTAGCAGTGTCCCTTCATTTGGAGCCTGTGCTGCCGGAGTCGATCTTGATTTTGGAGATCATTGGCCTTGGTGTGTATTATTTGAGCATTGGGGTGATTCTGTGCGTTTGCGTCCTCTCCATCTTCTTAATGGTATTAAAGCGATGCTCGCGTTCGGGTGCTCGCACTGGACCTCGCATCGTCAATCTGGGTCAGTTGCCAGACCCAGAAGAAATCCTTGAGACCATTGAGCAGATATACTTCAATTTGAAAGCAAAAAAAAACGTCACTGAACTTGTCAACAAAATGTCAACTTCATTGTCTGTGGATGATCTTCATATCGTACAAAAGGCATTGAACATCCTGCCTACTGATTCTTGGTGTGCGAAGTAAAACCTTTTTGATCCCTTTCGCATTTTTGCGCCAGTGCACTTGGTCTTGACAAGTGGTTTGTACATCCACATCATTGACTTGCAGTGTGAAGCTTCAAACAGAACAGGACTGCGAGTTGGGAGGTGGCGGGAGTTCTCGCGGCCGAATTGCAGCCACTCGAATTAGCCAGATGTCGAGGAAGAGCTTTGCTTCTCTGCGTGAAGAGCAGCGCCAGAAGTCTTCAGATGAGGTCAGGTCAGGGCTGATTCTTTGCAGTCTTGGGAAACCCACCCATTCGCAATCATGTGACCATCTCGTTAGAGAGGGCTGCTGGGATGATGTTGATTAATACGCTAATTTAACATCTTCATGATCCTGGTTTCTGGGATCTTGACACATAGTTATTTTCAACCCGCAGGGTTTGGAGTGTCAAGAAAGGCATGCCAAAAATATACTGCAAATATTTGCAAAATCGTATCTCTTAGAAGCATTGTTTGCTGTTTGCGCATCAGTTGGATTTTTCCATGCCCTGAAGGCATGCGAGATCCAACAGGAAAGCATCGCCAGTGGAAGCAGCGATGAAGTCAAACAAGAGCGAGATGAACTGAAAGATCCACCATCAGATGATATTTCAATTTAGGGCCACGGCTAATTTCTTTGCCAGCAGGAAGATTCTCTTGTTTCATGGCATCCCTCATAGTGGACTAATGACCAGTCGCACTCTGAGCAACTTCAAACACTTCACTCTATTGTATAACTGTATGACATGCCCAAAAGGTTAAGCCAACACAACGCTTGCGAACGACCGGGCGATTTCACTGTAGGAGTTACAACAGGAAAGGCAGTGATTTGAGCTGCTCAAGTTCGACATTTTGTGTCCGCCAGTCTTCCAGCTTTGCAGCAGGAACAGTTGCTGCGTTACGGCCCGCTCAAGGTGGGCCACAAAAGCTCTTGTGTTTTGTGGTCTCGCTCAAAGTGAAACCATTTATGTAAATGAATGCGCTGGACACCTCAAAGGACGGTCTGAGGGCTTGGCAACACATGTGGCTCAAAATGAGTAGGTTTTAGTCATGTTTTCCATTTACGATGGGGTTTGGCGGCATAGCCATTTGGACAACGTGAATAAAGGTACGTCACAAAGTAAAGGCGAACACTTTTTAAAGATCCTTTTTGGGTAGTGTCTAGACTATTTGTTAGATGGGCATCAATTAAGGATAAGGAATATGCAACCAAAATTAGACTCTAGATTTGGTTTTCTTAATCTTCAGTTTTTGCACCCACACATACACATAAGGGCTCGGAAGAGCACAATTTCAGGGAGGTACCATGAGAGCACTAACACTTTAGAGCTTTAGAGTTATATAGTCACTGCATTACCCGACTATTGCGGAACGACCTCAATCTGAGAAACAAACCTGTGAAATGGCCAAGAACAGCATGTAACTGTTTCTGCGTCGCCAGCGGAAATTCACAAGTTGTGCAGGTACACGGAAGTGATCAGCTTCCGCTTCCTAGGACGATTGCAAAGAGCTTCGTTGGGCAGAGCTTTGCAAGTTCTCTTTGCCCCCCGCAGTCACGCATTGAATTAATTTGAACCATAGAGAGCTGATGAGTCCCAGAGGTGGGGTGTGACACACTTATGGAAATGCGTGCTGAACTGAATGCCACTCGCCACACGGCAACCTAGGTAACCATATTCCTGATAGGGACCTGAGCACCTTTAGCTAAAGGCCAAAGTCCAACTCCACGAAACGACGAACAGGTCGAAATGACGGCGTTCGTGCACATCTGCGGAACTCACTGGCACATTACAGGATAATTGGAGTGACAGCTTGACAACAGTTCCAAAAAGCAGGTGCACCAGGTTGATCACACCTGGCTTCCACTATCAGGCATAGCTTCGTTGGCATGTGTTAGTGTGATAGCCGCATGCCCCCTGCTCATCATTCAACATTCAAAGCAACGCATCCGAAAGGATCCCTGCGACTCCAAGGGTTACACACTTAGGATAGGGTGTACTGAACTGAAAGCGGTGCCACACGCCGGCCTAGGGTTCCAATTCCTAAGGGTACACGTACGAACCACTGGATCCTGGAGGTCTTCAAGAGGAAGTAGGGCCCAAAAGGAAGAGGACGAGCGACGAACCGACAAGATGACGTCGTGGCGTGCAAGTCTGCGGCTACTTAGGTAACATGACAAAACATCTGAGCATCGAGGTTCTTGGCTTAGCCTCCTGCCATACGGAAAGTGGAAAATTGCAGGTACACAAGAAGGCGTCCCTTCTCGCTTCACCAGTTGTGAGTCCGTCTTCGTTGGTCCAGGGACAACTCACAACTGCCTGGACCCCCTGCTGTGACACAAGCAAACCTGAAAAATCCAAAAGGATTTGTATGATTTGAAGGGTTACACACACACACACCTCCCCGAACGGAGGCATGTTTTAAGCTCCGCGCCAAAAGGTGCGGACAAAGTAGAAGCAAGGCCAGGAACCTCTAGTAGCGTCAAAGTAGCGACCTAGCACCTAGTAGGAAGGCCAGGAGCCCCTAGTAGCAAACCAAGCTAAGGTCCCGACAGGAGGGAGGGGTAGGGAGAGACGAGAAAAAGGAAAGAGAAGGAAGGAAGGTGTTCCCAGCTACGACGCAAGCGTCCAAGGACACACCAAAAGAAGAGCGGAGAAGGGTTGTTAGCTATGACAAAAGCATCCAGGGACACCCAAGGAGGAAGGAAGGTGGAGAGGAAAGAGAGAAAGAAAGAAAGAGAGAGGGAGAGAAAGGGAGAGGAGAGAAAAGGAAAAGGCAGGTGTTCCCAGCTACGAACAATCGTCCAGGGACACACCAAAAAAGAAAGGGGTGATCCTGAGTCTTCCATTCAGGAAAACCTCAAAAAGCAAGGAAAGAAAGGGGAGGGAAGGGGAAGCAGGGGGACTAAGCTCGCGACAGGTTCCAATGAACCTTGAACAAACTTCGGTCGCTGCGGCCACGTACGCCGTGCCAAAATGGCTGGCTGCTTGGACCGCTGCGGTCACGTAGAGGCATGAGCCAACTTGGAATTCCAATGACGAGACAAAATTTGAGTTCTTGTGGCATGAGCCAGCTACTGTCCGCTGCGGACACGTACATCTCCGGGCAGGGGAGATAACGACGTACACCCGTTCAACGGGTCCACGGGAGGCACTCTGCGGGCTCATCCCGGGTTGGCACGAGGCCAAACACACTTAGGATAGGGTGTACTGAACTGAAAGTGGTGCCACACGCCGGCCTAGGGTTCCAATTCCTAAGGGTACACGTACGAACCACTGGATCCTGGAGGTCTTCAAGAGGAAGTAGGGCCCAAAAGGAAGAGGACGAGCGACGAACCGACAAGATGACGTCGTGGCGTGCAAGTCTGCGGCTACTTAGGTAACATGACAAAACATCTGAGCATCGAGGTTCTTGGCTTAGCCTCCTGCCATACGGAAAGTGGAAAATTGCAGGTACACAAGAAGGCGTCCCTTCTCGCTTCACCAGTTGTGAGTCCGTCTTCGTTGGTCCAGGGACAACTCACAACTGCCTGGACCCCCTGCTGTGACACACCCGAAGCGGAAGAGAACGATCGACGATCCGACAAGGTGACGTCGTGGCGCGCAAGTCTGCGGCTACTTAGGTATCATGTCTTGAGGTTCTAGGCTTAGCCTCATGCCACACGGAAAATTCGCAGGTACGTCGGTGAGCGTCCTCACCGATATCAGTGTTCAATGCAAGCCTCTTCGTTGGGCTGGTACTTGCATGAACAACCAGCCCCCCTGCTAAAAAGCTAAAAAAAAGGCAATCCGAAAGGATTCCTGTGACTACAAGGGGCGCACACACACACGCCTCCCCATCGCAAGTGCGGACAAAGTAGTAGCAAGGCCAAGAACCTCTACTAGCGTCAAAGTAGCGTCCTAGCACCTAGTAGAAAGGCCAGGAGCCCCTAGTAGCTGTTCCCAGCTACGACGCAAGCGTCCAAGGACACACCAAAGGAAGAGCGGAGAAGGGTTCCCAGCTATGACAAATCCAAGGAGGAAGGAAGGTGGAGGAAGAGAGAAAGAAAGAAAGAGAGAGGGAGAGAAAGGGAGAGGAGAGAAAAGTAAAAGGCAGGTGTTCCCAGCTACGAACAATCGTCCAGGGACACACCAAAGAAAGAAAGGGGTGATCCTGAGTCTTCCATTCAGGAAAACCCCAAAAAGCCAGGAAAGAAAGGGGAGGGAAGGGGAAGGAGGGGGGACTAAGCTCGCGACAGGTTCCAATGAACCTTGAACAAACTTCGGTCGCTGCGACCACGTACGGCTTGCCCGAAGGCTGCCACCTTTGACCGCTGCGGTCACGTAAAGCCATGAGCCAACTTGGAATTCCAAAATGAGACAAACATCCAAATTCTTGCGGCGTAAGCCATCTGCTGCCCGCTCTGGGCACGTGCGTTTCCACGGCATTGGAAACAACGACAGACACCCGTTCGACGGGTCCACCTGGGCTCATCCCGGGTTGGCGCGAGGCCAAACACACTTAGGATAGGGTGTACTGAACTGAAAGCGGTGCCACACGCCGGCCTAGGGTTCCATTTCCTAACAGTACACGTACGAACCACTGGAGCCTGGAGGTCTTCAAGAGGAAGGAGGGCCCAAAGCGGAAGAGAACGATCGACGATCCGACAAGGTGACGTCGTGGCGTGCAAGTCTGCGGCTACTTAGGTATCATGTCTTGAGGTTCTAGGCTTAGCCTCATGCCACACGGAAAATTCGCAGGTACGTCGGTGAGCGTCCCCACCGATATCAGTGTTCAATGCAAGCCTCTTCGTTGGGCTGGTACTTGCATGAACAACCAGCCCCCCTGCTGAAAAAAACACAATCCGAAAGGATCCCTGTGACTACAAGGGGCACACACACACACGCCTCCCACAAGGGGAGGCAAGAAGAACTAAGGTTAGTGCTAATGTGACAAGACATGACAAAAGTGTACGTGGTTGCGATGAAGAGGAACCAAGTGCACAGGGGCAAACAATGAATCCCACCTCATTGTCAAACATGGGCGACCTGAAACCTCAGGTTGAAGTAGATGTAGATGTGCACGTACATACTAAGGGCTGGACCTATGTGCGCGCAAAAGAAAGAAGGATGAGATGCCAAGACATGAAGGCAGAAAGACATGAAAGAAAAGAGGAAAGAAGATGTGTGTGAGGGGTAAAGGATGAAAAGGGAAACCAAAGGGAGGGGTCAGGAACCGATGAAACCAAACCTCAGTTGAAAGACCTTGGAAGACCTGCCTAGTTTGGAATGTGCACGCTGTGCGTGCGCCTAAGGTGGAGGCAAGTTCCAGTGAACCTAAGAAAGGCTTCGGTCGCTGTGACCACCTTGTGGCGTTAAGCCTGCTTTGACCGCTGCGGTCGCGTTCTGGCGTTGAGCCCACTCAATTTCAATAATTCAGCAAATCTTGGCAAATAACTCTGGCGTAAGCCTCCTGCTGTCCGCTTCGGACACCTACGTTCCCAAGCCGGGGAACATCGAAAAACCCCATTCGACGTGCCACAGGGGGCACTCCTCGGGCTCACCCTGGGCTCTCGCTGAGGAGAGACACACTTATGGAAACGCGCGCCGAACTGAATGCCACTCGCCACACGGCAACCTAGCCGGCGGAGGGGCGGTCGCGATCTGCCAGTTGACTGGGAAGTTGAATTGTAATGCTGCGGCGGGCTGCAAAGAAGATGGTCGCGCTGCAGTAGCAGCAGCAACAAGAAGCACCAACACATGAAAAGGAGATAAGACAAAGGTATGAGCGCACAGGGACAATGGATGTGTCAAACTGTCAAAACCTGGGCCATGTGTAACCTTTTTACATGTACAGGTGCACGTATTACGTACAGGTGCACGTATTACGTACACGCTAAGGGCCGGACCAATGTGCGCGCAAAAGAAAGAAAAGAGTGAAATGACAGGACATGAAGGCGGACAAAACATGGAAAGAGGAAAGGCAGGTGTGTGTAGAAAGGGACAAATGACAGGGAAGCAGGTGAGAGGGCCAAAAACACATGAAACCTGGAGAGACCTCGCCTTGTTTGGTGTGGGTGATGTCCGGGCAGTGTGTTTACATAAGACTCGGACGACCCGAATGGATCTTGAACGAACTACGGCCGCTGCGGCCTTGTCAAACTGACTGGCTGGTATGCCTGCTCCGGGCTGCTCTCAGCGAGTCGGGTTTAAATTCAATGTGGTACAGTAGTACAAAAACACTATGTTGCAAAACACAAATGTGTGAGTGAAGAACCCGGACGGGTCTACATATATTTTTAAAACTGCGAAGAACGATGATGCAAGGATTTGTTCCTGATGTCAATGTTGAAAACCACAAGGGCCTTTGTTGCCACCCCTTGGATCAAACCGATCAAACTTCAAGTGTTCAATCAAGGCATGTTGCCTTGCTATCACAACTCCATGCACTCGAGGCTGAAACATTTGTGAGTTCTGCAAGAAATTGATGTTGGGCGTTGGCGACACTTTCAAGGAGGCTGAAACAATCTACACTTGTGTTGTAAGCTCCTTGGGAAACAAATCAGGACGAAGCAGGATGCAGCAATGAACACCTATGAAAGCTCCACACTTTGATTATTTTTAAACTTAAATTGTACCGGGCGGGCATGGCCAGATGGCTGCGGTTGGAGGCTCAGTTGGCCAGCACGGCTTGAGATCGTAAATGTCAAGTTGAGGGAGGACTGGGTGAGACTCAAGGTCGTTTGAACGCCTCTCTCAACACCAAAGGGTTGGTAATTTTGTGATGCGTGATTCCATTTTTGGGCGACAGTTGTTCATTGAATAAACCCTTTGCTCATCCTTTGGCAGCCAAATTCTTGAAGGGATTGATTGAAACTCAACGATTCCTTGGCTGAAAATAGAAATGCCTCAGACCTTTGCCAATTGACCTGACATGCAAAGGCACAATGGCTGACATCACGTGGCAGGCGCCGTGAAGGTTGTTCAACTGTTGCGGTGGAGAAACAAAAATACTACACAGACGTCAGTGACTGCGTATTTTTGTTGGTTTGTTCGAGATAGAATTATGAGCAGGAGAAGCAGCTGTCAGAGTAAAGGGTTGTTCCTGCAGCTTGTTATTTTGTGCTCCAGAAATGAGTAGATTTATATTGTTTGTGGTTTCACTGCTTCATGCCCGACAAGTCGTAGCACTTTGTTTGGCCAATGGGGTTCCCCATCACGCACGGCAATATCTTCAAAACGATGCATTGGAGAACATGCCGGTTGGCCTACTCCTGGCCACTTGGCAGAGCAGTTTCATCATGACGGCGATTGTGCAGATTCTGGTGACCGAAGTCCTTGGTTTGCACACGAGGGCGCACTCAGAGATGGCGGCCAATTCGGCAGGAGCGATTTTCGCCATAGGCGGGTGCTTGGACTTCAACAAGTTGGAGATGGAAGAGAAGAGATGCGGCCTACAAGAGACGCAGATACATGTAGCTCTCGATGCTTGGGTTGGAGTTGCCGTGTCAGAACAAACAACTTTTCAATACCTTTACCCGTCTCAAGCTCCGGAAGATATGGGTGGAATGGGCTATCGTGGATTTGAATCAATGTACGTGACAATGGGCGTCTCTGAACAGGCATACAATGCAGAGGGGTTGGCCTTGAATTTCTACCGTAGCTACAATACCACTCATCATGACGCGAAGAGATACTTTCAATCTATTTTCGATGTGAATTTCTCAGTCATGATAGCTTGTGCGAATGGTACTGCTTTCATGAACGAAGAGCACATGGGCAACTACTACCGTTGGACAGGTGATATTGATGGAGTAGAACTGCAGCCTGATGGGACTTACATTGGTAAATGCTCAGGCCCGGGGGGGTACTGGTGGCTGGCGCCTTCATGTCGACATGATGTGATGGCCTGCATCCCTTTGGTCACAACTTCCAATGGATGGTTTCTTCAAGCGTTGCTGCAGTGGTCAACAACCTATGGAATCCCTGCTGCGGTCGGGATCATTCCAAGCTTTGCTGATTGGTCCAGAACTGTGAAAACGACTCGATCCCTCTTCTATTGGTGGACCCCTGATGCGACATTTCTTGAACTCCAACCAGAATCCATTGTATTCCCACCTTTCCGTGCCTCAGAATGGGTTTTGGGAAACAAAAGGACCTCTGGATCTGGAACCTACATTGCAAAGCTGACAAGCCCAAATTTGCGCCAAAAGTCTCCTCGCTTGCGAAGCTTCATTTCCAAATTGTCGATGGACCTCAATGATTTGACGGACATTCTTCACGACGTTCGCACTTTGCCGATCACTTCATTGGATCTGTGGTGGGATGCAGCATGCAGCTGGATCCAAAAGAATGAGCACATTTGGTCAACGTGGATTCCCATTGATACCAACTGCTTCTTGGGCTATGGAGTGGTCGATGAGCACGGTACTTTCTTGTCATCCAAAACAGGTGCCGTAAGCTGTGATGTGTGCCCACCAGGCACCTTCTCTGAAGATCTCCCTGACGGCCAAAGCCGCCGTTGTACTCCTTGTCCACCTGGCAGCAGCCAGAATAAAGCAGCCGCTTCCCGCTGTCACGAATGTCAGCCAGGCCGGCTTTGGGATTTAAACCAGCGCCATATTTCGAGTTGAAGTGATCTGATACTTGGTACACGCTTCGAATCTTAACTTCCATGTAACTCAAAAAAGGGTGGGAGAAGCCTCCCTCAAATACCTGGGCTTGTTTTGCACCGAAAATACGCTCATCATGGGACATCATAAGACATCATGCGACTTGGACTGACTCTTCTTGCTAGCTCAACCCGAAGGCAGCGTAGGTGCCACAGAGGGCAGTGTTGCGTGCACGCCTTGCGCAGTGGGATTCTACCAAGACGCTTCTGGCAAGGCAGCCTGTGTGGCATGCAGCAATGACACGACAACGTTGCTCTTGGGGGCGAGCAAGCCGGAGGATTGCGTTTGTCAAATCGATCTCATTGAATCCAATCTTCAATGCGTACCTTGTGGAGAGGGTTTGACCTGCCCCCGTGGAAGCACAGTAGAGCAGCTGATGCACGGACAGAACACCACTGCAGGCGAACGGCCGCAGATTCTGCAATCGTACTTCAGTTGGCCAGAGGAACCGCTAGAAATATACAAGTGCCCCGGGCAGCATTGTCCTGGAGGAGTCCCAGGTTCTTGCACTGAAGTACGCTTGGGCCCGACATGTGACGAATGTCCTGCTCGCATGTATGCCACTAGTGATGGTTGCCAAAGCTGCGAGAGACTTGTTTGAAACTGAGCACTGTCAAAGCCTGCATGCAAGAATTTAGCTTTGCCTTTTCATTCTGTAATCGATTGTAATTAATTGTGTATTCAGTAAAAGGCAACATGATGTAAAATGTAGATGGCGACCGCTTTCTTAAGATCATGCGACGGTCATATGTAGTTGGCGTATGTTGGCGTCTTTTCAGGGATGGCCGTTTTGAGGGAGCCCGTTTGACGGAGCGTAAAGCGAGGCTGAATGCTCCCGCACATTGAGCCATCGCAGACATCGGTGACATGTGGTGACCAACGACATGAAGTAAACTAGTAAACAAATGTAAACACCGCTTCATCAAAAATATCAACCTGCGCTATTCGCAGGCCTTTTTGTGGGAAGATCAGTAATTACCGGTGTAGTGAGAACTCTACTGAACTACAGCAACAGTAGCCACAAGTAACTCGAGTACGTCATGTTCACACTTCCGGTGTGTAGTGACTATCTTGCGTCTGACGCCGCTGACGCCTCACGCGGAGGCTTTTGGGGAATCCGGGCGAGTTGTTTTTGATTCTTTTCGGTAAGGATTCCTCTGGTAGCTGCATGGATTGGTGGCCTTTGCGGATTGCTTTTGCTCATCATTTCAGTCTACTATTTTGCAGAGACTCGCTACATGTTGAAAGCTTCTTTGGTGGAATGCGCCAAAATAGGCTGTGACATGACACTGAACTTTATGCAGAACTTGGGTGTTTTAAATTCTGTTTTTGTGCCGTGGCCCGAAGGGCTGCGAAATTTGCTCAAGTTCTCTGCTCTCTTTCTTTTCAATTTGCGCTCTTTGGGGTTCAACTGTGCACTTGGCAGCGCCGTGCAGCAGTACATGACGATGGTGTCCTTCTTCTTTGGCATGACTTTGAGCTGGCCATGCTTGGGATATCTATCACAATTCCATTGCTTCCGAAAAAGGAATCTGGCATGGAAGTTCCACAGAACACTTGGCGTGACAGGGAGTTTTCTCCAGCTCTCGTTCACGACACTGTGCAATGTTGGACTGGTTCCATTCATGTGCTTTAGCCATCCTAATGGACGCAAAAGCATTGCAAAGTATCCGAACATCTTTTGCGGCAGTCCTGACCATTTGACGATGCAAACACTGGCCGTATTCATTCTCATCCTGGGTCTCACGCACTTTATCATGTGTTGCTGGGCCATTTGGAGTGCTCCTGCATGGTCCGTCAAAGCGCGACGCCGACTTCCTGCTGTTCACTTCCTGATCGCCAATTTCAAGCCCAGTGTGTGGTGGTTTGGTGCGGTGATTCTACTGCGTGGTCCCCTCATCTCATTGCCCACAGTGGTGGCAACCGATTTACCTGGCGTCAATCTCGCCTTGCTGATTTGTGTTTGGCTGTCCTACTATTCGATTCAGCTCGTTTGCTTACCTTGGAAGGCAGGACAGCAGCCAGTTTTGAGACCGAATCGACTCAGTGTTCACATCAATACAATGCATGTGTAAATTTGCTCTATATTGTGTGGTGTGATCATTTGACATCATTTGCTCTATAATCCGTCAGTGTGGCCTGCCCCGCATTGCAGCTTCGCCCTTGCCTTTGGTGCACGCGGGCTTGCCCATTGGCCAGCACTGGCAAAGGTCAGTGACCAGGTAGCACCTCGTTTTGCCACGTTGGCGGTCGGCATCCGCCCCAAACCGCAGAAACCCCACCGAGACAATCGATACATATCTATACCTTTATGCAGAACAAGCAGGAGACACTGTTTGGCACTTGGGAAACAAACGCGGTTTGTCCGACTCCGATGATAGGGGTCCCGTGATGCGAAGAAAAGACGGGTTTCGCCGCTCGCATGGCACTCGCTTGTACACGCGCATGTTGGAAGACGCCAAACATCGTTTGCCACAATGGCTGCACCGGCACACACTCCCAATTGTGCAAGGATTGTGTGAGGCTTCCACAGGACACGTCAGACACGAAAAGACTTGAAGACGTTCTTGTCACACGTCCTTCGGAAGCTTCCTTGTCACACATCCTTTGACTCTACTCATCGTTACTTACGATGAGCGTGTATGGAGAAAGACCGGAATTCCTGCCGTGATTGGGCCATGGTGCACCTCAGAGACCTATCATAGCCAAACAGGGGCCATTCCAAAGTAGCGTAGCTGTGCGCCACCCAACAATAGAACTAGAGGAGGAAGGGACACTCCAATGTAGCATACCTTCAGAGAGGTAGCTTACCTTTTGTGAGCTACAATTTGGAGGATACCTGTTGCGAGCCATCTGAGGAAAAAAGTTAAAGCAGGAAGGGGCCATTCCAATGTAGCAAGCCTTTTGTGAGCCACCCGAGGGTAAAATGTAGGGCAGGCACGAGCCGCAGCATACTTTTGTGAGCTACCACCACTCGACCCGAGCCCCCGTTCCTCCAATGCCCCCGCATACCTGTGTAAGTGAGTCACTGAGTGCGCAAGTGCGTTAACCTTGGCATGCACAATTGAGTTTTGATGTTTTGGGACATCGCGCACGTGAGGTGATGTTTCTCGACTCACGAGAAATAGAGACCAACCAGCCACACAGACAAAGAAACATTTGCACAGACAGCGACCACACAGTTGGCATCTAGTTTGAAGGTGCATTTCTGCTGTGCAGCCATTGTGCTGGATGCCAGGATTCATCAATATTTTGTGCACGAATTTCCCATCATGCAATGACAAGGGAGGGAGCAAGGGAGGGAGGGAAGGGAAGGGAAGGGACGGGGCGGGACGGGAAAGGAACGGAAGGGAAGGGAAGGGAAGCGAAGCGAAGGGAAGGGAAGGGAAAGGAACGGAAGGGAAGGGAGGGAGGGAGGGTAGCAGTAGCAGCGAACGCAGCAATCATAGGACAAACATTGACCTTCGACATTTATGGTGAACATCAGTGACAAAAGCATATGGCAATGACATGCAATGACAATGAACCGGTTGTGTTGAGATGTTTCAGATGAATTTGCCTTCGGTTGAGCAGGCACCCATCCTCAACTTGGTGGACGGGATTTCAACCATGCTCTTCCTGGTATTGCTTGCAGTGTCACTTCATTTGGAGCCAGTGATAGCGGAGTCGATCTTGATTTTGGAGATCTTGGGCGTTGGTGTTTACTACTTGAGCCTTGGGGTCATCGTATGTGTCTCTATCCTGTCCATCATGTTGATGGTGTTGAAGCGTTTCCGATGCTCTGCCCGCACGAATCACATTGTGAACCTTGGACAGCTGCCAGACCCGAAAGAGATGCTTGAAACCATTGAGCAGATTTACTTCAATTTGAAGGCCAAGCAAGATATGGGTGAACTCGTCAACAAGATGTCGACTACTCTATCTGCTGATGACCTTCACATTGTGCAGAAAGCCTTGGACATCCTCTCGACTGATTCTTGGTTGTGTGACGTCAAACTCTGTTGACAATTGTTCCATGTCGTCCCAATAACCAATAGCTGTCCACTTGTAATTGCTAAGTATCCGCTTTTTAGAGACAATTTTGACGCTGAAACATGCTGAAACTGTCAGATTCGTGCTGAAAGTGCATGGGTCTGGCTTACAAGATCTTACAAGCACTTTGAGCGCACACAAGCGTTGTGACTGCAAGTTTGTCTGAGGACTGCGAGCTGGGAGAAAGTGTGAGCACGAGCCGGACCTCCTTTTATCGAATCTCTGCGAACCGGATCAGCCAGATGTCCGGGACAAGCTTGTCCTTAATGGTGCAGGACATGGATGAGGCGGCCCAGTCTAAGGTGGGAGGGACCTTTTGGAACTTGGACTTCAGATGACCAAGAATGGACCAAGAAGATGTTTGGAGGTCAAGTCATCAATGTTGCCATTTCAAGTCATCAGTGACATTGTGTTTCACGCAAAGCCTCCTTTGAGACATTCACACCCAATCAGCACACGAAGAGCTTATAGTCTTATAATCGTTTTTGTTTTTGCATTCTTTTTGCTTGACTCGAGAGATAGAGGAATAGCCGGAATAGCATGCAAAGAAATGGTCATCAATGAATCGGAACCCTGGGTTCACAGAGTCTTTTGAATGTCCCTGAGGTGTCAAAGCGGCTGAAGGAGGAAGAGAGCATTTCTGAGATAGCGGAATCGGGCGAGATCGAGAAGGAGGAAGCCAGGGAGGATTTCCCGGAGCCCAATTCTGTGGACATTAGCGCGGAAGAGGACACTATTCTCGAAGAAAATCTGGATGAGGTGGATGTTAAACTTTAGATGTTTTCTTTGGAGGTGACACTTTGGGGCCCTCACATGCATGCATGTCTCGCCAGTTGCTGGCACATCCAGAGTGGACCATTTGATGTCCAATGCTCATTCAAGGCATTTCAAAAAGCCTTGTCTTTTCGATTCTTTGAGTCATTCTGAATCATTCTGACGTGTCTACTTCTGTCTTGTCTCATCCGTGTGGTTGCGCTGTGTTCAATTAGAAGACACCATAGTGAGGTGGAGGATGGTGTGCGCCACAACTTCTCACCAGCTTGCGTTCGCTCCGCGCGAGGCACGGACTTGGAACACCTAATCATGGCATTGGTGATGAAGACTAGGACGTATTCTCGTTTCTCTCTTGCTTGCCTCACAAACATGGATGCAACTATTCCTTGCTAGCCACACCCGGACGTCACGGTCAACTCGCGACTCACCACTTTGGCGACGTCACGGTCAACTCGCACAGTCAACCCGCTGCTTTTGTGCTCGCGAGGCCTTTACGTGGCGGCAGCTCCCTGCGCAGAGCTACCGGGCTGGGGTCGGGGCTTCCAGGCAGTTTTTTTTTCTTTGGAGTTTTACTTGAAATCAGGTTGGCCTTTTGACTCCATGGTCCATGTTGATTTATAACTTGAGTTCGATTTGAACTTAACATTCATTTGATGTCCTTTGGAATCCCTCGAATATTCATGTACTGAAATATCTTGTAAACAATAAATTTGCTTTCATTTGATGTCATTTTGGTTTCCAGCTGAGCTACGTGTTTTTTTCTTTATATACATGATCACGATGCAATTTGGATGAGAGTCCACCTCCATGTTTGTTTGAAGGGCAGAAGTGTGTGTGTGTGTTCCATAGGTAGAGGTACTAGGTATCATGATCACACCAGTAACACATTGCCCATTGTCTCTAGGCATGCATGGAGTGAAGTGCTTCTAGTTTCTGAGGAGGCAGGTTCGTTTCCCCACTCCCAAGACTTCTGCTGCGAAGGCCAGCGAAGGCACTCGCGAAGGACAGGCGTAGGCGAACAGTAGCTTTTTCATCCGCTAGCCCTTCGTCATCTCAAATGTGTTTTTTGGTGCTTATCTGGGTAGCCTTTCGTCACCGTGTCTGAGACTTGGTCAGATTTCACTGCCCAGCCAGCAAGACGGCCGCTGCTCGCCTGCAGAATGCTCGGGCACAGAACTGGCTGCGCCCTTCTGCAGCATCATGTTCTTCAGCAAACGTTCTACTTCCAGTTCTTTCTCATCATGGTCGTGTGCTATTGCTTAAACAGGTCCCTTGCGCAGGTGCTCGCAGGTCCCACCAGCAATTGCGCGAAGGTGAGACGAAAGGCACCCTTTGTAGACACGTTATCCATGCGTGGGCGGTCGTGCATGCATCCCAAAACTGTCTACCCCAGAAGCAACCACAAAAAGCACAACTCAGTTGAGTTCCTTTGGACTTGCGTTCGACTCCTTGGGATTTGACCCTGATTACTTCCTATTCAGTTGTGTTGCTTCTCTTGATGACTCTTGATTTACTTATGTTTTTGTTTATATTCTTGACCTAACATTGCCTTCTTTTCCAGGGTGTTCATTTTGTTCTTCTTGTTTCCATCGCCTGCAAACAATTCTAACAGAAAGCATACAACTGAAAGTAATAAGATTGTCAATGGTATGAAGTCTTCAGGATGGGTACACCTTCCAAGTTTATGTTGCACCAGGTTATATGTTTGTTCACTAAATTATCCTATATAAAGGGATTCCCACCAAATATGTCAGAGTTTGGTGGAAACCAAAAAATCAATGAACAGCAAGTAAGATCAACGGAAAGCACAAAACAAGATCCGCAATCTCCACGTGCAAATGACCAAAGAACGCTGCAGAAGGCATCAATGGACTGGAAAAAGGAACGCCGCTGAGAATCGTTGGTGACCAGTAAAAAACGGCTGATTATTTCACCAAAGTATATACGTGTAGCATTTAATTGTTTAAACATCGTTTAGCTATCTTTAGCTCGATAGATGCATCCGTTGAATGCTGTGGCCAGCAACGTGGGCCGCCCAAGTGCGCCTTCTTTTGAAGCTCACCGTTCAGTGCCACATCGCATTGCTTTCGCCAGCAGTCCCGTGGGCCGCCTGTTGCGGGCGCGACGAGCAGTCGTCATGGCACTGAGGCATGGGCGACACAGATCAGGCTTTGAGGATGATGGCGTGGCACTTGGAGACCAACCGCTTTGTGGATGAGAGAGATGGCTATAATTGGCTATGGCTCGAACATGCCTAAACCTGCTTGGTAAATGGAACTGATGACTAAATCCAGCAGTTCGCTGGGTCTTCAATTTCAAACCCACATCCAGATCAACCTGCGGCTGGTCGAACTCAGATTCCGAAGACAGCCGATACCGCTTTAGCACTTTGTATATTATAATATTCATTCGGGAATGGCTGTTGTACCACTTTACTGTACCGGTTTGATTTGTTGCACACTGTTTTGCTGGTAAAGAAGACACTGAAGTTATGACGTTGCCACCTCAGATCTGCAAGATCCCCCTTTGGCCCTTTGGCCAACCAGAAAACCTGTCTTGCGACCGGCGCTGGTCGACGTGCGCACCGGGTGTTTTCTTCCCAATGCTCAGTCCTTGACGTCCTGGTTGGATTTGCTATGTCAGCTGGTTCCTTAGATTTCTTCGGTGCTCTGTCTGAAATAGGCGTTCTTGCTTTCTTTTTCATTGTCCAATTTGCCTCTTCATTAGCCACATTGTCATACTAGGTGCAAGATCAAGCACGTTCTTTGCATCATGGGAGATGAGGACCAGTTCAGTTTGTGAAAGCATTTGACTTGGCCTGTTTTACATCAGGCAATAGGAACAGATGTACGTAATGGGCAATAGGCCCAAGTATGAAAGCAGGCCAATGTCATGGAGTTCGATGCTAGGCTAGTTGCAGTATCCTTGCATGTCTTTGTGCACAGACTCCGTACACAACAAGGAGGTGAGTCGAAGGAACCCGCTTGGACTCCAACCTATATAATAGCAATGGCCTCCAACCTAATAGCAATGGCCATTTAGCGATTGCCTCCAATCACAAAATTCAAGAGTTGCTGATGATATCTTGCAGGGCTGGTGATTGCGTCACAAGCTGGCTCCAGGTGAAAACGCGGAGCAAAATACAACGCAAAAAGAAAGCCATGCGTTGGTCGGCTCTCGTACTGGTGACCCTCGTGGCCCCGAGCACTGGACACCTTCGGGGAGGTGACAGAACTGGCTGGGAGCAGTGTGGCATTTTGGGGAAGGCTCCGGCTCATGAGCAGAAGCAGCGAATTGTACATGGCCAGGACATGGGGGGACTCCAGGGACTCCTGGGAAGCGTAATGGCAAGCTAAAGTAAACCAGGAAGTAGTTGAGGATGGTCGAGGGCTCTTGCATGCTCTTGTTGACTCAAGTAGGAAGGCTCTGTGGCTTGTCGGTCCAGTAGCACAGCATCGGTAGTAACATGGGTGGACAGTAGTGCAGCAGTAGTGTACAGATCAGCAACATTCAGCAGCCCTATACACAGACCAGTTGAACATATACCTTTTACATAATTACATATATTATACATATGCATACATAGAGGGATGCCCGGTAATTCCGGTAATTGTTGACAACTTGGCTTAGTAATTAGTGCAGCTATTGCTGAGAGAGGATGGGGAAGAGGTAGAAAGACAACACCACGCACGCACATATGGCCCTGCCAGGATGCAAATCAATGCGTTTGGCGATGGCAAGTGAGTCTGAGCACGTCCACAGGTCAATTCTGTGGAGGCCTTTGCCGTTTTCTCAGTTTTAGCTTTGATCGAGCAGGCCGCCCACACCAGAAGGCAGATGGCCTGTTTGTGTTGGTTATCTTGGCACATCTTTGCACTAAGCCACTAAGCTATGATGGGCCAGGTGACCATATCATATCTTCGGTGTGTCATGTGGCTGTGGCCAGACGCCGCAGGCACACTCATCTCTCCGGGGCACGTCATCACTGCGGCGCACTGCATCGCACACATCAAAGGACTGCAAAGAACCGGTTCCATGCAACTCCATACAATTCTCCTGGCACCGATTAATAACTGTTCATGAACGTTCATATGATTTGCAAATCATACTGTAAATGAATATTAATGAATAAATGGCGACCGACCTTTTTACATTGAGTTGAAACTTATGTCAGCTCCTTGTGCATGCCAGGCCCATGTGCTGTCAAGTCACTCAAGGTGGTGGCTGGAAGTTGGAAGCGTGACCCTGGAACTGCCGGGGCAGCCGTGCAAAGAAATGTCGTCAGGAGCGCAGCACAGACAAAAGCATGTTAGTTGTGTATATGTATATATATATATACACACACACACACGCACATGTACATTCAAAAGACATCGGCGGCCTATGGGTGGCTCCTTTCTCTTTTTCAAATTTCCACTATTTTAGATGGATGCACGATCGAGCCAATATGTTGAGGTTTATCCTATTAATGTTGCGAGACTCTTGAGCCAATCCTAGTCAACTAGGGGTTTGCTTATGTTCCTCACCACAACTTGAGAGGTCATTCACATCAAGACTTCTAAGGTTTCTTTTTGTTCTGTTCCCACTGTTTCAGCATGGAGTGCTAGGGTGGTGCAAGACAGCGTTGTTTTATGTCTCGCTATCGCTATCGTGCGTGGAGACCTGAGGATCTTCATGCATCCGCTTTACAATCAGAACGTACCGCATGACTATGACTTCGCCATCCTAGAGCTTGACAAGGTCCCCTGTTTGAGCGGAACCGCGGAATGGCTAAGACGCTAGACGCTTCGTGAGTATCATGCATCATGCATCATTGACACCCTTGGCATTGCTTCACGGCAGCCGTCCTTCGACCAACGAGCCTCGGCACCCGCAGGCAATGCCCTTGAATGAGTGCGTCGGCGTGGCCTGTTTGCCACATCGAGATGAGATGCCGGGGACCAACTGCAGCATCACTGGCTGGGGCACCTTGAAATCCTTTGGCAAAACTCCAGAGGTTCTTTGGCGTCGCAGATGGGCCGTCGCACAAAAGTTTCAAGAAGCAAACGACATTTTGGCCATTGTTGGTATCTGAGGGTAATGTCTTTGCTCTCTTCTCTTCATGATCTCCACGCGTATTTGTTGCTGTAGGCATGTATTAAAAACGATATATGAACAATTATGAAGGCCACACCACACACAAACTTGCAGTGATGATTTAGTTGTCAACTTCGAGAGCTTGGACGATCTTGGACCAGCAGTCCGGAGAACTCCCAGTTTCATTCACCAATTTCTTGTTGCATTCAAATGGCTTTGCTAGCATCCGCAGCCGAAGGTGCTTCAAGAAGCCTCAGTCAAGCTGCTTACAAGTGCCGACTGTGAAGTGAATCTCAGTTGCACTGCACTGATTGTCTTAAGACGTCTCCAAAAAACTATGACTCGAATCTTAGACTCTTAGACATGATTGGACATGATAGGATCATGGAATCATGAATCTATCATGACCTATCTATCCAGGCATTCATCACATATCACCTTTTTTCACCACCAGGAACTACACCAAGACCAGAGACATCATCACTGGCTCCATGCTTTGCGCCTCGGGGGTCTCCGAGAAGGGCATCGTGGACACCTGTCAAGGTGACTCCGGAGGACCATTGAGCTGCGCAGAAGATGGGCGCTTCGTCCTCCGTGGCGTCACCTCCTGGGGTCAAGGACGGGGTGAAAGACCCATCGGAGACGTGAGATGTCTTGAGGTCTGAAGAAGGTCTAAAGAAGGAAGAAGGTCTGAGAGCTTGAGGAGAGGTCAAAAGCCAGAGGTGTGAAAGACATGAAAGTATATGAAGGTCTGGCATGTTGTCACCCGTATTGTGAAAGCGTGTGCTATTTCATGTTTTTGGGAACATGTTTGTACTTCAACTTTGATTCAGCCATCGCGGCCCCCCACGAAAGGATGTGCTTATGCCAACTTCCCCGGAGTCTATGGATGCTCGGTGCGCAACGGATTTTCGGCCCAGCAGGCAGTATGGCCCGCTAAGCTTTGATGCACAGTTCCGTACTTGTGAGCTGAATCAGATAAGTGAACCCGGTGAACGCCTTTTCGTAAACATACCGAGAGACTAGTGCGACATGTGATGGGAGAGAGAGAGAGAGAGAGAGACAGCTCAAGGAAAAGTCCAGAGCGTCATGTCGTGGATCAACGATGTCACGGCCCAGAAAGTTCGCAAGGTCTACTCAGATGACCAACAGGAGCGGTTCGGACCAATTGTGTTGGATTCGTCCAATTCCTGCAGAGTTGGACCATCCAATTACAGCAGCAAAGAAGCAGCAGAAGTATATTCATGTGTATATATTTAAAAACAAAAAAAACATATATATATATATATATAGGTACAGTTACAGTAAAGCTTTGTGGTTCTAGTGTTTGATTGACTTCTGGGTATGTTAGGTGCACGCAGAAAAGTTTTGCAATGACACTTGTCCTTGCGCAAGTAAACAAACCTTTCTATAGCAATGTCACTGCCTTTGTGCTTGATATGCAGGTACCCCCTTCGCGCCTCGAGTCCAAAATGGATTAGTTTCTGCGGCTTTATGTACATACATGTTTTTGCACTGTCACCTGCTTTTTCACCAGGTAAAACGATTATGTCACACGCAAACAATTTCTTATTCTCGTTTTTGTTCCGCAAACAGTTTACTGTTAGGGGTTCTCAATGCTTTAAAGAATGGTCGCCTTGGTGCTGGATGGTCTGGTCGGGTTCCCGGCCGGCTTGTCTCCCACTTCCTTTCATTTGTCTCCCAGTTCTTTTCATTTGTCTCCCAAGCTGGGTGCTTGTGGTCGGGTTCCCGGCTGGCTTGTCTCCCACTTCCTTTCATTTGTCTCCCACTTCTTTTCATCGTCTCCCAGGCTGGGTGCTTGTGGTCGGGTTCCCGGCCGGCTTGTCTCCCACTTCCTTTCATTTGTCTCCCACTTCTTTTCATTTGTCTCCCAGGCTGGGTGCTTGTGGTCGGGTTCCCGGCTGGCTTGTCTCCCACTTCCTTTCATTTGTCTCCCAGGCTCGGTGCTTGTGGTCGGGTTCCCGGCCGGCTTGTCTCCCACTTCCTTTCATTTGTCTCCCACTTCCTTTCAGGCTGGGTGCTTGTGGTCGGGTTCCCGGCTGGCTTGTCTCCCACTTCCTTTCGTTTGTCTCCCACTTCTTTTCATTTGTCTCCCAGCTGGGTGCTTGTAGTCGGGTTTCCGGCCGGCTTGTCTCCCACTTCCTTTCATGTGTCTCCCACTTTTTTCCCCAAGCAGTTTACTGTTAGGGGTTCTCAATTCTTTCTTAAGACGTGTCCGCCCTTTGTGTCACTGCTGGTGTCCGCCCATTTCCACTGGCCATGTAGCATTTCTATTCATTTGTCTCCCAGGTCTGCTGCTTCTCTTGCAAAGCACGACCCAAATCCGCAGGCTGGTGTGGCAATCCTCATGTAGAAAAGACTTTGGTAAACCATTTTGCCATTGCTGCCTGTGTCTGCTACCAGGCGTGCTCGATCTGGTTAGTCTCAGTGTACTTACCACCGCAGAGCCCTTTTCCGCTGACCATGCAGCATTTCTATTCATGTGTCTCCCAAATGTGTCACTAGTGGTGTCCGCCCTTTTCCGCTGGCCATGTAGCATTTCTATTCATTTGTCTCCCAGGTCTGTCACTGCTGGTGTCCGCCCTTTTCTGCTGGCCATGTAGCACTTCTATTCTTTTGTTTCCCAGGTCTGTCACTGGTGTGTCCTTGTCTAATGGCCATGAAGCATTTCTATTCATTTGTCTCCCTCCGCCCTTGTCCGTTGGCCATGAAACATTTCTATTCATTTGTTTCCCAGGTCCGTTACTGCTGGTGTCCGCCCTTTTCCGTTGGCCATGTAGCATTTCTATTCATTAGCATTTCTATTCATTTGTCTCCCAGGTGTGTCACTGCTGGTGTCC